AAACAAAAAAGTCAACTTCTTCCCGTCTAGATCTTAATCTTTTTTTTGTGCTCTCTTTAGGAAGGTTGTTTCTTTTTTAATTTCTATCTCACTCCTTCGGGAGTTTGTATCTTTGAACAATTTTTGTTCCTTTTCATATCTTCAATGAAAAGTTTGTATCTTGTTTAGAAAAAAGGGAACGAAACCATAATCTTAACCCGCCACAACTTCCAAAACTAGAACAAAATGAATCAGATTCGGAAGGACTTTGGTCAACCATGGGATTTCCCACGCTAAAGTTTGAAAAATGGAATCAAACATGCCCATGGTGATTTTCAATCATTCCAATCATTCCTTCCTCGATGATGGATTAGGGTTATAAACTTACCTTTCAATACGTGGAATTTTTCAAACTTCATAATCATTGGCAATCAATATGTGGAATTTGGAGAACTTCATAATCATTGGCAATTAGTGAGGGGGATTCATTCAATGCACGATTAAGGCGATAAATTTTTGGTAATGCTTAGAGGCGTCCATTAAAGTGGAAGGCAATTATTGAGGTTCATCCCAATGGAGATTCCTTTGATATGTCCACAGGAGAAATGATAGTTGCTCATATTACCACAGCATCAGGCAGCAACTCCTTCATCGAAAGGGATATCGGAATCCATGGAAGCTTCTCAGCTCAAGCAACCAAGAGTTTACATGGTGAGTGCATAAACCTGGTGGATATTACGAGACAAGATCAGAGAGGCCCAGGAAAATGAAGCCTCAAGTAGTTTAAAAGGTTGTTTAGAGCAGTGCAACACGCAAAAGGACAAGTAGATTATCCTCTCACTACCAACTTTCATAGAAGAGGAAATACAATATAACCTTTGAAGTTAGCATTGAGGCTTTGTTTTTGGTGATTACTCCTTGATAGACTTCATGGAGATGGCCTTTTCTCACTCTGTTCTTAGCATTTCATCTAGTTTAGTTCCTCCAAGGTTTTTTATAGATTCTTTCATGAGTCCCTGGCTTTTACTTGGTTCTTTTTGGAGTTTGTTTTTCGTTTCTGGTTCTAAGGTTTTTTCCTTCAAGCGTTCATGGCTCTGAAGCTCTTTTGGTTCTCCAAGCTTTGTAGTAAATAGTTTTCTGAGTTCTGGTTTAGAATGCTTTTATCTTATCTAAGTTTGTATTGCTCTTGTTGAGCTATTTCTATGTTATTTTCCTCTCCTTATTTCTCTCTTATTTTTTCACTCCTTTGGGGTTTGTATCTTGAACATTTTTCCTTTTCATATATCAGTGAAAAGTTGTTTCTTGTTCAACAGCTGATGCAAACGTAAAAGCTATAGAAGTTGGCCATATTGATTGGGATTCCCAACCATGGACAAAGAAGGGTTTGAAGTGGAAGAAATTTTTTTTTTTTTTGGGTAGGAAAGAAAGAAGGAAAGGAAGACTTAAAGAACTTCGATAGCGGCTCCCTAGAGCAGGAGATAGATCCTCATTGAGAAATCATGATAAGTCTACAAAGTACCCAAAAGATGAGTAAAGAAAAGCAACTGCACCAATTCCTCATGAATGATTCAACCTAGATATGTATCTCTTCAATCCATGAAATTGTGGAGCTCTTCTGATTGTTCTGAAAAGAAGTCAAAAGCCTGAAAATCAAAGCAAAAAAGAAAAGAAAAGGTAGCAGGAAATTGAGGAATTTAATCTCCATGATTAACTATGAAAAATAAGTGGCTCAGAAGACTCATAGGGCATGAGAATTTATCTCTTCGAATTTGTGGGGCCTAGGGCTGTAAATTACAGGCCTCTCATCAAAGATTTTCTCAACACAAAACCCAAATATTTTTATTACTCCAGAGACTAAACATGAGCAAATTAGTAGGGGCACAGTTAAGTCCATCTAGAGTTTGCAATTTGTTGGTCAGACATTTCAAGCGACAATGTGTTCATAAGGGTTATTCTTATGCTTTGGAATGAAAATTTAGTTACAGTGGTTGACTCTCTAGCAAGTGTTTTTTCTCTTTCCATAAATTTTAAATTGGCTAACGACTCTTCGTATTTGGTGGTAACAGGTGTGTGTAGTCCCCCTTCCAAGGTAGAAATTAGTTCTAGGAAGAGTTTATGACATTGGTGGCTACATCTTCTAATAGCTGGTGCTCGAGAGGAGACTTCAATATCACCAAGTGGATCCATGAGAAGTCCTCAAGAGTTCAGTTAACCAGAAATATGCAACATTTCAATAAAGTCATAAATGATCGGTCCTAGATTGATCTCCCTTTGTGGAATGGAAGTTTTACATGGTCCATTGGCAGAGTGAGGTTGGCAATGTCCATGACTGATGAATTTCTAGTTTCCCATGATTGGATTGTCAAATTCCAAATGAAGTCTCCAAAAAAGTTCATACAACCTCATACCACTTCCCCTTAGTTCTGGACACGAGTTCTTTCAAATGGAGGCCTACATTGTTTAGGATCAAAAATATGTGGCTAAGTCTCATTCTTTTCTTAAAAATTTTGAGGTTCAGTGGAAAAGTTTAGATGTCAAAGGCAATCTTGGATTTGTCATCATTCAGAAGCCCAAGTTCATTAAGTCGCTTATTAAATTGTGGAATAAAGAAAGCATTAGCCACACGATCCAAGAAAAATATCGCATCTGAAAGGACATAGCTTGTACTGATGAGCAAGAGCAATCTTTGAGGCTCTTTAAGGTGGACCACAAGAGAAGAAAGGACTTGAAGCTCAAATTAGATGAGCTAATGTTAAGAAAGGAAATTAGATGGAGACAGAAATGTAAAGCCAAATGGTGTTGAGGGGGGGATGAAACACAAGCTTCCACAATTATGTCAACTCTAGCAGGAAGAAAAATCTCATTATCAAAATCCAAAATGAATGTGGGGTTAGTATTGTAGAGGAAAATGCAAGTGTAAGCGAATCTTTATCCTATTTTCAAAAGTTGTATACAAGAAGATATGATAGTTGTTTTTGTCCCACCAATATAAATTGGAGATCTATACCCGTTGAAATGAGTTAAGGGCTCGAAGTTCCTTTCTAAGTGGAAAAAATTAAGGAGGCAGTGAACAAGTTGGGTCCAAATAAGGCCCCAAGCCCCAACGGTTTCACAGGAGCATTCTTGAACAAAACATGGCACCATCAACAAATTCATAAGCGGAACTTATATATGCCTAATCCTGAAGAATCTTAGAGCCTCAAAGATGTTAGGTTTTCGCCCCATGAGCCAAGTTACTAGTATCTATAGAGTCTTGACTCTTGGCCAAGGTTCTTGCTAATAGATTGAAGAAGGTCCTCCACCTTACTATTGTGCAAAATCAGTCAGTCAGCCTTTATTGCAGAAGGACAAATCCTGATCCTATCTTTATAGCTAACTAGCTAGTGGATGAGGACATCTCTAAGAAAACTAAAGGTTGATTTTTAAAGCTAGATTTTGAGAAGGCTTACAATTTAGTCAAGGAAAATGTTTAGGAAGGGGATGCATCATGAAAAGCTCTTCCTCAATCATTATAAATGGGAGGCCAAAAGGTCGTATTCATACCTCTATCAGGATAAGGTGAGGAGGTCCCATAGCTCCCTTTCTTGTCGTCTTAGTTGCTAATGTCTTTAACAGTCTTATTGAAAAAGGAGGGAGTGAAAGTTGCATTGAAGGCACTACAATTGGTGGGGAAAGCCACTTGCAATTTGCAGACGACACGATCTTGTTTTCAGCCAATGACAACAATACTCTCAACAACCTTCACAATATGGTAAGCTTTCCGAAATCCTTTTTGAGGTTTAAGATCAATGGGGCCAAATAAGTTTTAGTAGGCTTAAACATGAGTGAAGAAGAAGCGTCTTTGTGTGCACCTTTGCGGAATTATTCTGCTGGGATTTGGCCTTTAACATACCTAGGAATGCTTCTTGGGGTTGATCCTAAAAGAAGAAAATTTTGGGACCCTATGGATGAAAAAATCGAAAGGAAGCTTTCTAATTGGAAAAATATTATGATCTCTAGAGGGGGAAGACTGACACTATTATGACAAGTATTCTTCTCTATTATCTCTTGATTTTTTAAGTGTCCAAAAAAGATTGTAAAAAGTAGGGGTGTACAAGAGGAACCAAAAAACGAGCCGACCGACTGAAACCGACCGAACTGAAGTCAATTGGTCAGTTTAAGGAGTGGACCGGTTGAAGGTCGATCAGTTCCCTTGAACCTACAAGAACCGACCGACCAAGCCATATATACATATATATATATATAATTTTTAAAAAAAGTTGTTTTCTATATACATTTAATGTGAAGTCATGAATCTATTCCCATTTAGTGATTCACGCTGACTTTCCTCCTTTTTCTATTTTTTTTTCTTTTAAATCTCACTTTGCCATTCACGTGAATGGCCATTCTTTTATTTATTTCTTTTATGTATTTTAATATCTTCTCTCTATCAACTATCCCCTTCTCTCTCATCTGCCCCTGTACTTTCTCCTTCCCTCCCTCCTCCTCCTTTATTTCTCTTTTTTTTCTCAAATTTCCTTTCTTACTCCATTCTACTTCTCTCTCCCTAATAATTCTTTCTTTAATTTCTTTTTTCAACTTTCTCACTCTATCTCTTCGTCTTATCTCTCTTCCTCTTTTCCCTCCTCTTCTCCTTTGCCCTTTTACATCGTCTTCTCAGCAATGGGTATCCAGATGAACATAACGGATACACATTGATCTCCAGCATTCAACAAAAACCGACCGAACTCGCAAATGGTCGGTCGGCTTATACCAAAAAAAAAAGGAAAAAATCAAACCGATTGTAAACTGAAGGGTCGGTGTCGGTTTTGTGCTAAAGTTGACACCAACCGACCAATGAACACCCCTAGTAAAAACGTTGGAGAAATCCTTTAGGGACTTCTTCGAGAAATGCAGCAAGCAAGAGAGGAGCCTAAATGCAATTAATTGGAAGATTACTTCGCAACATGTTATCTGACTAAATATATCTTTTTTAATCTCTAAGACTCTAAGAATAAACAAACTTTCCATTAGTATATTACCTGATGAAGTATATCGTCACATGTTCGTATGCGATCTGTCAAAGAATTCAAGTAGTGGTGATATTTCTCCTCTGTCTACAAAAAGGAACAGAATGCTTAACAAGAACTGTCACAGGCTTGAAAGATAAATTAGAGAAGCTGTCCAATTTGCACTAACCTCTGATTTCATGGCTGATTCAAGGTCAGAAAACCATTTGTAGAACTACATGAAATTCATTAGGAAGGACAGAAATTTTAGTGTCAACAAAACCAGGTAACGATAAAGTGCAAATAGATTATGCCAAGGAATATAACGTGGCAAGACAATCATAATCCAGATATATCCCCCATTCAGCATAAAATCTGAGACCTCTAGCTTTATTTTGTTTGGTAAGAAACAAGGATTTTAT